ATGCGACACAGTCGACAAATTTCCAAACGCATATTTGGGGTGAAAGGTGTGCACAGGCCCCTCGTGGCAATGGCAGGGCCAAAAACTGATAAGAAAGCAATAACTTCGTTGCATTTAAACTCAAAAACAAATAGCTGTTAAGGTTATGCTGTGGAAATTCTCTTCGCAAACAAGAAAAACAAATCAGGAGGACTTGAACTCACATGGAATAGGGATTTGGTGAATTAAATGCTGGATGGCAAGAAACATTTGTTTAAATTTAACTTCTACACTTTTATACGCATATTTTTTGTCAAGCGAACAAACAAACAAAAAATATTACTGTAAGGTAAAGAACTTTTCAATATATATTTCATTGCAAATAACAAATATAATAAGTTTTTCTTTTAAAGCCTTTCTATTTGTAAGCATTTATTATATACGTGTTTTTATTTGTTGATATTTGAATTCAACGAAGTATGGTATTTAACGTTGTGTAGTATTTAACGATGTATGGAATTTTAAAAGAAGATAATGTCTGGACACACTGTATATTGAATACTTGTATGAAGATAACTCGTACTAGAAATAAGTTGAAGAATATAAAATAAAAGAATAAATAAAAACAAAATTCAGAATTCAGAATTCTTTTTAAGGCGTTAAAAAAGCTAAAAGTTAAAAAAGTTATTTTATTTATTTATTTTAGGCATACTTTACTATTTATAATTATTCATAATATAATAACTAACTACTAAAACATCGACTTTTGAAATAAAAATTTACAACTTGAGGAAGAGTTTACAAGTTTGAAAAAAATTAATTTTTTTGGATTATCGTGTTCTATTGAATAGTTTCTTTGGGACAGATTGTTGTTGGTGTTGTATTAGGGGATCGCCCCACAGACTGGGTAGTTAGGTTTGCTGGCCCTATTAAGGACTTGTTTGTGATTTAGTTCGCTGTGTCCCGTTCAGAGTCTTGATAGAATAGTGCAGCATTTTCTGTCTAATAACGAATCATTTCTCATTTGGACCTTGATAGAATTGGTGGCTTCATAACAATGGTTAAAGAAATGCCATTCGGCCATTTTCTGGCATCTTAAATGGATATATTTTAAATTAAATTTTACATTTTTTATATCTTACAATTTTATGTTTTTTTTTATATATAATAATGCGTATTAAGCAGTCGATTTAATATAGACTCGTAATTAATGAAAAATGAATCTTAAAGAATAAAACTACAGCGCCTTAGAATAAATTGTTTTCCTCTAGTATATGTGTATTTAAGTGGCATTACAAAAGTGAAAAGATTCTATGTGTGATCTGTAATTTTAGCTTGGAAAGAGAGCAAAGAGTATAAAAAATGCCACCATAAATCCGAGTCAGTCATAGAGATGCAGGCAATAAAAAAGTGATGTGGTGCAAATTTCTTCGTGCGCATAAATTAGACGCTTAAATGCATGAAAGAAATGTAAATAAATAAATGCGAATGAAATCACAGCCATACACAAAAGGTAAAGAGATAAGCAGGCAGCCAGACACGCACACAACACTCACATTCACGACACACATCAATTCAACTACATAAAAAGTAATGTTAATGCCCATGAATTGCCACTCGTGCACGTTTTTATTTTGCCACACACAAACACACAGACACGATATATAAACTGTATTTACTTGAATTTATGCCATTTATAGACTTTGCAGCGTTTTTGCTTCACTTACAATTAGCGATAATATAGCGCTTATCGTCACAATTGCAGCCCGGACTACCGTGGCTGCCTATTTAAGGGAAGAGCATCCTCCACGACGTCTCACTATCTCCAGCATCTATTGGCATGGAATATCAAAGCTTTAATGTTAATACTTATAAATGTTTAGTGGTGTAATCGTGAGTATTAGATGCAATGAGTTATAATATTTAGTAAGCACGAGATCTGCAACATATAAAAATACTTTTATTTGACATTGACATTTTGTTAAAGCTTCAACTAAAAGACACAGAATTTCTTATATCTAACAGCCATTCAGAATTTAAAATCAACTTGAAAACTAAAAGATTTACTTTCTCGACTGATCAGTGAATTTAAACAAAATTTTATTGTAGTATACAACTCCCACTGATAATAGCTGGTTTGGAGACACATTCCTTTTGAAAACGAAAAAGGGGTTTTGCGGATTGCAACATTTAATAAACCCACAATAAATATTCTCAAATATAAAACGAATGACAATAATGGAAGTTTTTGTAATGGGCATACAAGAGTACAACGAATTTCTAGCCTAATTACCTTCGTTACTGCTAGATTTAATTTTACCTTTACTATTTAAACTGATAAATAATATTGAACAAATATAAATATTTCTTACATATTCTTCAAAAGTGACCAATCATAACTTATCTTTCAGATGCTAAACAAAAGCACTTTAATTCGAAGACATTTAATACTAAAAGAATATAATTTTGTGTATTTTAACTGCAGACTTTTTCTATTCTACTAGATTTTTAGGCATTAGTTTTCTTTTCTATTTAATATTCATTCCTATTTTGGGCGTAAGCCCAAAAAACAATATAAAGCTTAGTAGATTAGATTCTAGGCTTTTATGGAATATACAAATTATTGTTTTAAGGAATAAAATTAAATAATATATTGCAATTTTCTCTAACTTTAGCAATTTCTACTCTCTAAATCGATTGACTTTTTCACGCTTTCATCTCCAATATGCGCTCGCGAAGTCATAGTTCTGGCCAAATGCTTACAACTGGCGCACAGGAACTTAACTCCTATGGCCGTGGCCCAAGCATATCGCATAGCTGATCATTTGCTTTGGTGCTAAAAAGCGGCGCATAAGTGCAGCATCATTTCCGTTACATATAAATACACTTTTCTGCTTCGATAGCGGCAGCTCATGGCATGCGGCATGACTTGGCCAGACACACACACACACACATACATACGTGCTTAGCTAACAGTCAACAGTCAACGAGCGCAATTTAAACTTGTTACGTGCTTCACATGCGCGCCGTCATGTCGAACGTAATGAAATGTTACAGACACATATACACAGATTACAGTCTAGAGCCTAATGCCTGGCAAGCTAGTCAGACACGGTAGCATTTTTCTGCTTGATTTGAAGCGTTGCCTATCGAAGCGATGCTTTTTATTATTATCAGCATCAGCAGCAATAGTAATGACAGCAGCATCATCGTCATCATCATTATTATCATCTTGCCAGTCTCATCTGCGAGCGCAACTTTTCGTTGCTTGTGCTATTATCGAATGCTCCAAATTATGACAGAGCCTTTATTTGTGATTTCCATGACTTGCTCTATTTGTACAACACTTGTCATCGATTTTAAAACATTTTATATAAATTCGTTCCTCAGATCCAAGTACATGCAATATTTTATGACCCCTATCATTAAAAATATTCGCAAAGACTGCCTTAAGCCTAAGAGAATAGCTCCGCCTGTTTAATTTACAAATAAATTGCACCATCTTGTACATATCTTATGTTTATTTTAAAACATATAACTCCAAATTCAATTAGAATTTCGTTGCATACGTTTGGGAGCTGTTTGATTTGTTTACATGCATTACGTATACGCCACCGTGGCAAACCGGCAACCAAATTAGCATTCGCTTTGTATTCTCTGTGCACACAATTTCTTACATCGAAAATTCAATTATTATTCTTACAAATTTCGAATCTTTGCATCCCACTCCCCCATCAAAAAAACAAAAATCGCTAAGCGACCTCAAAAGACAAAACTCAGTATACATGCGAGTACGAGTACATGCGAGTAACTTCAATAAATAACCAATTACAAGCAAATATTGCCGCAAAACACACAAAAATATAATGGAATTTGTAAAGGCTTTTTTTGAGTTAACAAACAAGGCCAGCCAGGGAAATACACAATCGAGCTCGCAAATGCCAACAGATGGGGAAAGTGAACAAATTTGAAATGTAAAGCAAAAATCGAAAATAAAGATTCAAACTAATGAACATTAACTATATATATTCTACGTAATATGTATTCTTTTAATCAATTTTAAAATGTTTTAGCAATATATTACACTAAATCTTTTCTAAAAAAAGTATAAATTAAATAGAAGTATGTTCAGAGAAGATTCAGCAGCCACACGATTACGAAAGTTATATAAAAGGTTGATTAACTAAAGTTGCACAATTGAAGTAAGTTATTGAGAAAAAATATATCATTGCTTGCTTATTTCCCCGCCTTACTGATCATTTTTATAAAACTTGTAGTCTACCTCTCGTTGTGGGTTACAACTATCAGGCTTAGACTCAATAACGAACGCATATTTTATTTTAAATTTAATTTATAAATATTTTCCACCTAAAGGCTTACATTTGTTAAACTATTCCATGCTGCATAAATGCATTCACCCATTCTTACATACCTTTTTAAGATCACAATTCCCATAACGACGTGAAGAAAATTATATTTGATAAAATACAGGTACTGTTGATATTTGTATGCATTCCATATTATAGTTTACTATCCTTTCCGATTAACTTATTTTGCAGTTGTGGATTACGAGAGAAACCAACTTTTTTAAATTGCCTGCTCTTTGGAATTGTGCTTCAAATGTTAACTCTTCGTTTTATTTGTGCAAGTCAAACTCAAACCCTTAATAATTTATTAATATTTCACTCCATTCATTTATACTAACCGAAAAGTCTGTATCAAATAATAATAATAAGTCTGTAATAATAATAAGTAGGTATTTGACCGTAAATTAGGTGAATATTTCTGGCTGATTCATACTTTTGTATTGAAATCAAATACTCTGCATTTCTCTTTACGGCTTTCCTATATAATTTAGGTAATGTTGTATAAAGTTGTGAAGGAATTTAATTCACTTTTAAACAAAACTGTGACTAAAACATAAACACAACAATTTTTGAAATAGAAATAAAAAATCAAATTAATTACACTAAGTTTTGATGAACAATATTTTTTGGCATTTATTTATTTTGAGAGGGTTATTAAAGGATCCAAAGTATCCTGTTTTTATTTATGATATGCCTAATTTCAGGCACACTAAGAAGTTAATCAATACACTTGCCTTCTAAATTAATAAACTTAATAACATGAACAGCTGTGAAGTTTATGGTGCCGCAGTAGTGGTAGGTGGTTCAGGAGTGTTAGCTGATTCAGGAGTGTTAGCTGATTCAGGAGTGCTTACGAATCCAGGAATAGTAGGTTTTTCAGTTGTGCGCCCTACAGGCGGTTCCCATGGTTCTGTTCTCACGCCATGATAGCGCCATTCATCCAATTGTGAGCACCGCTTTCTGTCCCCACACCGTCCTGGTCGACGTTTTGCAAAATCTTTCATGAAGTTCATGTTAATACATTATTCGAGTACAATCTGTGTATAATTTGAATAATTTACCCGGTCTTCCATATATTTTGTTTTTGCAGTTTTGGATTTCTACTGTGCACCGATTTTTAAATGACTTAAAGCAGATACCATCGAAAGCACAGACAGGATCGACATAGTATGGACAGTCACGGTAACAAATAGGCTTTTTTTTAGCAACACAAGCACAAATTAATGCTGCAGAAGAAAATTAATCAAACAACACATTCATTATATTTATATTCATTTACCTACTAACCGAAAAATATAACTACATCAAATTTCATTTTTGCTTCAAAGTCATGTCCAACTGTTTCGAAGCTGCTTGAAGAAGTGTCAGCCATGCAAATGAAACCATGAAGCTTGTTAAGATTTAGCACGGACCATGTCGAAAGATAAAACACAAACACAATTTATAAGTATATACTTATACTTTATATAGTAAACCGATTCAAACACAATACAGTCGCTCCCCAATGCCACTTACTATAAGAACTAAGCCCAACGCATTGCTAATACAAAATATTGAGCAGTATTAAGCATTTGAGTTTAATTTAACGTTAATTTCTATCCAATTATGAGACGCTACTTTCAAGCGCCCTCTTTTTAAGTATACATCTTCAAAACTGAAAGAAATTTTCATTTCTATTTCTGCTCTTAAGAGTAAGCTATGATGAATCCTTAGATGAGGGCAATCAGAGCTTATGCTGGAAGCCTTAGCTATTGACAACGCATTAAAGTTTATCTTGGAATGACTGAAAACCAGCATTATTTTTGGCTTTTATCGACCAACAACTTAGCGAATTTCTGCACTCTGAACGTTGTCTAACTACTATTCAAGGATTTCACAAATCCTGCTTTGTTCCAGTGTTAAAAGACACTAAACTTAAAATAGATCTTTCAAAAACAGACTACTGCTTATACAAGTAAGTAGAACTAAATTGAATTGCATTCTTTTTTTAATATAACTACTGCTATGGAAATGCTTTTTGCGTTCTAATCTTAAGGGATTTTGAACAAAAAGCACAGTTTTATTTTTTAGCTTAATATCTCCACTTTTACTTACATAAATTTTGTAATAAAAGTTAATTATTTTTAAAAAATGCTTTTGTACACTATATTTATAAAAAAATGATTAACACCTAAATGAAAACTGTTAAAAGTTAATATAATTTTGAAGCTATATTCATTACTGTCGTAAATAGTAATACAGAACCACAACAAAATTACAGGGGAGCAATAATTTTTGCTATATTAACAACTTTTTCTATAGTACACAACCTTTAGTATGACCATAAAGATGGAAGAATTTATATTAGTTGCGGCATTAGATTTATATTCTTCACACTATCATAGTTACTGTATTTTTAAAAATCCAAATAAATCAATCCAGCCGTCACTCAAAAGTTGCAGCAATTACAAAAACTGACCAGCAATCATCACGACCCAACCGCATGCATACCTTTGCAGACCTTATAGGATCTTTTATTACGCGATTTGATTTCATTCACAAGCGTCATAAATGGAAAACTACGAGCAGAAAACGAATTTCAAATAAATTATGCACATCAACTTGTTGGACAGCCAGTCCGTCAACTTGCACCCATCCAGGGCGAAAGCTGCGGATCCAAGCCCATGGCGGAGTAGGTGCTAGAGCTCGAACAGCTCTTAGGGGCGCCAGAGCCAATAAATTCCGCGTCTTTCACTGGGCGCCGTGATTGCAAGCATTTGATGATAAATTAAACTGTAGACACGCGCGTCGAAGAAATTTATTATGCGCCAAAAGGCCAAATGGCTGTCAGCCTAAGCGCAGCGTTGCAAGCCGCACAAACCTTTTTAGCTCTAAATCCACATCAATGCATCATCGGCGTAAAGCCAACCAACGGCTGCCAAAGAGGAAAGGGTGGTATCACAAAAAAATAAAAAAAACAAAAAAATAACAGAAAAGAAAAAGAAAACTTTGCTTTAGCTTTTTGGCTGTTCAACGCCATATTTTTTTCTCGTTTTTCTTGCTCGCGAACTCTGCCATAAATTGTAAAAGTGGCTTTGCAAGGTGGCTCGACACTGTGGCTTGTTTATGCGCTTCACACGCTTGTCTTGTGAGCTGCCAGCATGCCTAGCTGTTCTTCGGGCGGCAAAACTGCCTCTCGCCATATTGGTTATTAATGTTTATGGTTGGTCAAAGTTGCTGATACAGTTCATGTTGTTCTACCTCTTGCAGTTGTTGTTGTTGCTGCTGTTACTCTTATTGGCTGTGCGCCATAGTGTGGTCATTTGATCGGGGCTAGCGCCTAGGCTAATGCAATTTATAATTTAATTTCTTGTCCATTATAATAATTCACTCAACAATAGACATTTACCTTTCCGCTTCTCTCAAGCAGTTCCAAGATTCAAATACACTCAAAAAAAAGGAATTAAAATATATCTATAGTAATGATATTTTAGTATTTTCGCTCTCGTACAGATGGCAATATTGTTACGAAATAACGAGGTGTTAATGCGGGTTTCAACTTAACGTAGCAATAAATGCAAAATGGTAGTAAAACGTATATTTGTTTAAAGTGTATAATTAAAGCTGAACTTGGAACCAAATGTAATGCCAGTACTGGTATGGGATATGCCTGTAGAACATCATTCAATGAATGGAGATATAAACAATGATAGATGCAAATTGTATTTAATAATTATCATTTATTACAAATAATATTTCTTTTATTAACTATTTAGCTTTTAGCTTCGTATTTCCTTACCCAAAAACTCTGTCTTTACAAGCGAAGGAACCAGCACAGGAATTAATATTAATAGCAATACTGGAACAAGTACTAAGTATAACTGATTCCTAGTAAGTTAGCAGCAGTAAATAAAACAGTTTTGGCACTGAAAACAGTTCCGGAGCGAGCATCAAAACCAAAACCCTTAGAACTTGTGCCCTAATCAGAGCCAGCAGAACACAGCATAACATCAGTAATAATAAAAAATTAAGATATTTTAACTAAATCAATTTAAATTTACAATTCGTCGAAAAATATCCCAATACTATATGGCTAACAAGGTGCAAACTATTTAGCTACTGTCTTGCATCGACGGCTTCAAACGATACGATTCAAGTGGCATAATAGTATTAAGATTAAACATTTATATTTTAGAAAAAGAACAATTTGTGAAAGGCTAGTGTTTCTTTAAAATTTAAAAAATAAGAATGCACAGTTCGTAAAGAAATTATTAATCGCAGCTGCTAACTGCCTTCAAAACAACACTAACGAGTGGCAAAAAATGTACACATTTTATAAAAATATAACGAATTTGTATTCAAATCCGTTTTGCAATGTTAACCACAATTTTTCTGCGTGCATGCTCCCCCTAATAAATTTTCATTCACCAGCTACGCTGTCCGCCACAGCATACGGATACCTTTTAATATGGCACAAAAGCCGTATTTCCGTTTTAGAACGATTTGATTTTGTTATACATGGAATTCTATATGTTGTTGCAGTAAGTGCTGCTGTGATTCTTGTTTTTGCCACTACTACTGCTATTGCTGTTGTTGTTGTTGTTGTCGTCAGACTCGTATTGCTCGTGGTTTATTGGTTTTATATTGGCTCATATTTTGTGCGGGCCAGTGCGCGCTGCTGAAAAGGCCGGCTGTAAATCGTGACAAGTTGCCAACGGGCTTTAAATTTCAATAGGGCTGCATTGGCTTGTCATAAAATATAAGCCCATGTACACGTATATTGGAATATGTTCGTCTATCTAAACGTATCGCGTATGGTGCTGGGGGTGTACGGGTGTAGCCGAAAATTTATGACGTAATTGAAACATGAAATTAGGACGTTTTGCGGTGGATTTTATTCAAGTTTTCCTTCATAAATTAATCTCTAGAAGTTGGAGTGGTTTCTTCTTCCGCCTGATCATCATTTTCAATTTTTTCTTCAGTTGTAGTTTTTACAGGGCTCGAAGTAGTTGCTCCAGCCTCAGTTTGCGGGGCAGCTGTTACAGCCTCAGTTTGCGGGGCAGCTGTTACAGCCTCAGTTTGCGGGGCAGCTGTTTCAGCCACAGGTTGCGGAGTTTGTGTTCCAGCTTCAGGCTTCGTAGTACCTTTGCTAGCTTCAGGTTTCGGAGTCTCTGTTAGAGCTTCAGGTTTCGTAGTACCTTTGCCAGCTTCAGGTTTCGTAGTACCTTTGCCAGCTTCAGGTTTCGGAGTACCTTTGCCAGCTACCGGTTTCGAAGTACCTTTTCCAGCTACCGGTTTCGAAGTACCTTTTCCAGCTACCGGTTTCGAAGTACATTTTCCAGCTTCAGGTTTCGCAGTACCTTTTCCAGATTGTGGTGGCCATGTATAACGATAAGCATCATCTGGAGTGCACATATGCGCCTTACGACCACACTTTCCTAGAATCTTTCGTCGAATAGCTATTTGAAAGGCAATGGAATTTGTATTAACTTTAGATTTTAGGGGTCCATTTAACTTACGAGGCTTGCCCCTCTTTGCATTTTCGCAGTTTAAAACTTCAACTGCGCAAAAATCTGGATATTGTCTACTACAGATGCCATCGAAAATGCAGACTGGTTGATTTTTTAAAGGACAATAACGGTCCTTACAAGATGAGTACCAAATGAAAAGTGCTACAAATAGCCAAACATCACCATTAGCCTTTAAAAAATAATTTTGCTTTACACTTACACCAAATTCCAGCATCCACGCCTCTCATTTTTACTGTAAAGTAATGGCAAAAAGTAATATAGATACAACTTTTATATACGAAGTGGTATGACGAAAGTAATTACTATAGTATGTGGGTGTGAAAAGTATTTCATGAATTAGAAACGGTTAGGTTGTTTGCTTGTACAATGAAACCTTAGGCTGATAAATATGTCTTAACTAACAGATACTCTTTAGCTACCGCAGGTACTGAAAGTGTTCAAAGAGAAATTCAAAATATTCCTGTTAAATCTTTTTAAACAACTTTCCAAAGTCTCACATACAATTCAGTTAGGGGCCCAGTAAGGACAAAAAGGAAACATAATATGACTAATCCAATTGAAACATGAAACTAAAACATTTTGGGGTGCAGTTTAATAAAGCTCTTCTTTTTAAATGCTTATTCTAATTGATTTGGTGTGGTTGGTTCCTCTTCATGTTCATCATTAGGAATTTTATCAGCTTTAGGATTTTCTTTTCCACCTGAACGGGAACTAGCATCTGGTTGTGGCGCAGGGGTACTTGGCTCCTGTGAAGCTTCAGGGGCATTTGTTTCCTTTGGCTCTTGGGTAGTACTGGTACCCTGTCCTCCACCTTCACCTTCACCTTCATCATTAGCTCCTGATGGTGGTGAACCTGTATATCGAAAAGCATCTCCCGGAACGCACCTATGCGCCCTACGATCACACTTTCCTAGCCTTTTCTGTCGAATAGCTTATGAAAGGCATGAAATTTAATATTACCTGTGGATTTTTGGGGCACATTTAACTTACGAGGTTTGCCTTGCTCTTCATTTCGACAGCTTAAATATGCAACAGCGCAGAAATCTGGATATTCTCTTCTACAGATGCCATCGAAAACGCAGACTGGTTTATTTTTATAAGGACAGTAATGATCCCTACAAGAGGACGCCCAAAATGAACTAAAGAGTGCTACAAATAACCAAACATCACTATCAATCTATAACTGACTAATTTTATTTAACACTGACCCCAAATTCCAGCTTCTACAACTCTCATTGCTACTGCAAAAGTTGTGAACTTAATAAAAAATACAACTGTTATATTGGAAGTGTCATGACGAAAGCTATTAAGTGGGTGTGAAAAGTATATTAAGAATTAGAAGAGCCATTTATGTGACATGTTTCGGTAGTCACAAGCTAACAAATACTCTTACTACTCTTAGCTACACAAAATTTTTAAAGAAGAAACTCCAATTGTCGTTTATTTAATAAATTTGCGCATTTCACTTCTCTTTCATTCTTTCTCTAATAGAGACTTTAGAGTTCGTGCAAAAAAAGATTCTTTTAATTAAAGTAGCAAAATTTATTAAAATCATGCTACTGAAAAAAATTAAATTAATTTTTTTTGTCCTTTTTGGAAAGACTACTTTGTGTTTTTAGATTAAAAAGCCATTGAATGATTTTACCTACATTTCATTTTCATTAATTCCTGCACAAAAAAAACTCTACGAAATCTCACATAACACTCATGGAATGCGAGTTCTCTTTCCTCAGCATACTGACTAGATTTTATATAGTTTGTGAGGTCTGCTACGACTCCTTTTTTATGCCTTTATTATACCTTATACAGAATATATTACTAGAAAGCCCTTAGTAGTTTTTAAAGTAGGAAAGAGTGGATTTGTGGACAGCCTGCAAGACATCAAGTGCAATAAATTCATTACCTATGTTTACAAGAAAATGACCAATCCCCACGAAAAAACTAGTGGACATTTAGGAGTTTAAATGTGGCATAAAAATAAGAACATAAGCATTTCTTTTAAGTAAACATGAACTCTGGTGCCTATAGGTATACGAATAATTTATTTATTTAATAACTTTGTCTACAAAAAAAAAACTGTTTATATACAAAAGAAATTGCTACTAAAGTTAAGGCTTATAAGAAACATGTTGAATAAATAAAATCATTTACAAAGACTAAAATAATATCGCTTAGGCTACGACTTCGGTCAACTCTGGCTCGATTCAAAGGCTTAGGCTTTTACAACAAATAAATTAGAGCTTAAAGGAGAAAATAACCCATATTTTAATACAAATTTAAATGGTAACTATAATTTTGTTTTGTCTTTAATTTTGTTCTTATTTTTCGACTATACATAAAAGTAGCGACAAGTTTCACTTCATTTACGCCTAATAAAATGCCATTATATAAAGGACAACAACTCATGCTAGTAGCATGCCAGTACTGATAAGGCAAAGTCGTAAGTGACAGATCGACAAAATGGCCTGACGGTTCCCAGAGGAATGCAAAAATACGCACAAATAAAAGCACGTAATGCGGCAGCATTCAGTGATGAGTGCGATGACATTTTTATAACCGAAATTGCCAACTAGACTGGCGCACCGAAACATACTCACACATCCTGATATCCCCCATACATAAACTCGTAGAAGTTCAATTTCATGGCAGCACACAGCAAGCCAATAAAAGGACAAAGATCCCAGCCAGCTGTGCCAACTTGGACGAGACATAGAGACAAAGACAAAGGCAGAGGCATTTTAATGTAACTGCCCTGGCTGCTGCCCCGGTAGGTCAGATTAGCTCTGCCTGTGGCACACATGAAAGGCCATTAAACAGCTGCCTTCATGGAAGCAAGGGATGTGGTCAAGCTTTCGCTTTAAGCCACAAGATGTGATGTCCAGCAACCAGCTCGAGTGCGCATTGAGTTATGACTTTAATTTCAATTGCTATGAGAATGTATGTACGTATGTATGTATGTACCTGGCAGTTGGCATGACTAAAACCCATTGCCCATAATTCTAAAGTCTGTGACGGATCATAAATTCGAAACTTGCTGCCCAAACTGCAACTACAACTGCACTTCAGATGATATGAGATGAAATGAAGCCATTGGTGGAATGGACCCAAGACGCTTGCGGCAACAACGGAATGACGGCAAATGATGAAAGCATCAAAAGAGAAAACGGATTGGAAACGTACTGAAGCTATGAGTTCAATACATATACAGACACACAGATAGATAAATGGGGAGAAGTCGAGCTTAAAACAGATAGTGGGAGTCACAAATACGTTTCAACGAAGCGAAAAGGAGCAACAAAGCAGCAAAAACTATATTATTTGCGACGTCGAAAATTGTTTACTCTTACGAAAAAAAATACTTCAAAAACATCAAAACGTCAAAAACATTAAAAAAAAAAAGTATCATATCTTATTAGAATTGATTGCAATCTCTACTTTAACTAAAGAAAGCGAAATTTATTGAGAAAACTCTTTTTTATAAAGTTTTTTGAAAATTAAGAATATAACAACTATAAAATACGTATATTTTCATTTATAAGTAATTTATACAAATTGATTTTAGTTTATTTTAGTTTTGTTTTTTCAAAGCATTTAGAAAAAATATCAATGTTTTCTTAAAATGTCGAATTAGAAATGCTCTCCTAATTCTCCGACAACTTAACTTGAAAAAAGTTCTTCTTAATTTTATAAAACGGTCTTAAAAACCCATACCTCATAAATATGTTTTTCAATATTTTAAAAATTTAGGAATCGATAGTTTACAAATTTTTCCTATAAAGGGTATAAAACGTACAAATAGAGCTTTCCTTCTTTCTTGCGATTTGAAGAAATTTGAGCTCAACAGCAGAATAGATGAGAGTAAAAAATATGCTCAGCTATAATTAAACTTATCTGCTTTTAACATTTCCGTTTGATATTTTATAATTTCCTGATTGAGGAATCCCTTTCTGCATTATATTTTACTTTCAGCTGTCTTCGATCTTACAGTTTTTAAATTTAACGAGCGATAAAAAATTAATAATCATTATTTGGTGTCTCTGATAAAGCTCTATGCATGTTGCATCGGATGATACCAAATTTCGAGCTTAATTTCTTGATTTCCTTTAGAGTTTTAAATATTCCAAACACTTATATTAAAAACTCTCTATAAGTTAAATACTTCTTCATATTCCAAACAATATTTAAAATTGATTATATCCTTGTTTAGAGTAGAAAAGTGGTTTGCCAGCAAAACAATAACAGAGACTAGCATGGCAACTGCAAATTACACTTCACTGGAACACACATGCAACAGCAACAACAACAACAAAAACAACAACAGGAACGGCACACTATGGTCGGCAAAAGGTAGAAGGCAAAAATGCTATTCGAAACAGATTTTCATTTCTGCAGCTAATACAAACGACATATCTAAACGGGTGAATGGTGCGTGGACCGTACACACACACACACACACACACATACATACACACGGACATGCGAGGAGACAATTTTGAAATCAATATTTATGACTGTCCTTGCAGATTTATTGCGCTGAACACACACACACACGGAAATATATATACAGCAGGGTGATTGCTAAACATATTTTAAATGAAATCTAAGTATTGAAGACAGCAATAGGTAACTAACTATTGTAAGTTAAATACAGATATCAGACATAAATAGAGCAGGCAGTAACGAAAATCACATGATTATTAAATATTACATAAACATTTGATCAATATATTAATATGACTTGTACCTAATGTTCAAAGAACTAAAAGCAGACTGTTGGACAAATTAAAATGTCTGAACGAAATCTTAGGATTCACAAAAATTGGAATACCATATCGTAGAGGAGCGGTGATTGAAAAAATCACTCTGAAGTAGGATCTATCCCAAATCGTACACATTTTTGAGGAGGGGTAGCTTGTAATTTCCCTGGAAATCGTTGTGTCCGCTATGCTTTTGGCATACACTTGCGACGGATAGTATTTACTTCTTTAAGGAAAATCCATATAAAAATGTTTATACATATTTTTTAAAATGTTAAAAATCTTTTGAAAGTATAATATTCGGAGTTTTCTGAAATGAATGGAGCTATTGAAATGAGTTTTCGAATTATAAGAAATGAATTGTAGTATCTCATAAGATAATGTTTTAAGAATTCAGCAGGCAGGGTGCTGTACATTGATTGTATATATTGAATAGAAATTCTTTAAAATGGTTATGATTTATTTCAAAAATAACTCCAGTTATGAATGCCGATAATTTGAAGAGAAAGCAATTTTTTAATTTTCTATATTTATCACAAAATCGAATTAAAACAAGTTCCGCTTTAGGTTTTTTTGCAAAACATTACGAAGGCGGGGCGGCATTTTTAAGGGAATAAGTTCTATATGTAGGATAGAACGGGAATACTTTTTACTCTGCCATTCCCAAAGATAATAGAAATTCTAAAACTTTAGTCGCCCTCTTGCAGCGGATGGCTTGAACGTATCTAGTGTTGTGCTTTTTGCCTTTGATTTGCACGTTCTTGCATGGGATTTTATATTTTCATTTTTTTTGTTTTTTGTTTTTTTTTGTTTTACTGCTTTTACTGATTTTTGCTGTGTTCACAAAATAATAATATCCTGTCTTGGATTTTCATATACGCTCACACACACACACAAACAAACCCACTCACACACTTAGGGAGAAAACGAGGGAGCAAGAAATGGAGCAAGTGTGCTATCTACTCGTATTTATTGTAACTTTTGCATAGTTACGTTTATGACACTGCAGCATTTGATGATTTATGCATTTTAAACAAAAATGTCTGCAAACGGGCCTCTGACAACGTAGCTGCCATTTCAATATATACATACGTATTACTTAATTTATATATATTTGCTGACTATTTTTTGTCATCCAAATGTACACGAGTATGTGTTATTGTGTGTTTGGCAGAAAGCTGAATTGGAAGCATACAAATGAAATTGCAATGCCAGACAGCATGGCACATGCTTTCAAACTGTAGCTGCTGCCATTAAGTAAAACAAAAATTGCATGCAATTAACGCGCACACACACACACACACACACACACACACACACACACACACACACACACACACACACAC